TGAGAAGCGCACCTCCTGCCGCACACTCTCCATCCTCACACTCCCCCACACCGCCTCTGGGTACGCACACACTGCACACGGCTCCCCATCTGCCATGCCCCACACCGACCCTCTGCCTCCTCCTCCTCCTCCCTTTCCCCCTTCATCTGCTGCTCCTCCTGCTGCTCCTGCCCTACCGCCGCTGCCAGCACCACTACCTCCACCACTGCCCCCACCACCAGTACCACCAGCACCAGCAGCAGCAGCAGCAGCACCTGTTCCCTCACTCTCCGGGCCCAGGAGTCTATGCAAGGCAGAGTTGAGCGATGCGCTCGGGTGGTTAGCCACCGCTTGACTTTGCTGCGCCAGCTGAGTCAGCAGCACGGCTGCCGCTCGTGCTGCCACGTCAGCGGCGCCAGCTGGCTGCTGACTGGATGCCAGGTCAGCGAGGAGCGAGAGGAGGAGGTGGGAGAAGCTGAGGGCGTGGGCGCCGAGGGAAGGGGTGTGGGGGAGGATGGCGAGGAGGGAGGAGAGGATGGAATTGCGGAGAGACTGAGAGGCGTGATTCCACACTCCCTGCAGTTTGGACAAGAGGGGAGACAGGGAGAAGGTGAGGGGAGGGGAGAGGTGGATAAAGGAGGAGTTAAAAATCAAGCAATAGAAAGGAAAATGGTGGAGAGAAAAAGGGCATGATGCCACACTCTCTGGAGTTCAAACTACGAGGAGGGAGGAGAGTGGGTGGGGGTGGGGTTGAGGGAGAAGGTGAGGGAGTGAGGGGGAAAATAGTGGTGAGGAAGGGATACTTGAACAGTAGCAAACCTGACGGGTGCATCATCAGCAAGTGATGGGTTCCTGAGGAGCAGGCACACATACCTGCATGACCATGCATCCCTGAGATCGCAGCCTGGCAGAGGCAGCAGAGAGCACAAAGGATGAGATGAACTGAACAATGCCAGTAGCCGCGCCATCACTGCTGCTAACTTCCCACCTCGCCTGCTGCCCCTGCCCCTGCCCCTCCACTTGCTGCACCTGCCCCTGCCCCTGTTGCTCCTGTGCCTGCTGTTTGGAATCCAATGCAACGCCAAACAGAGCAGCTGCTTGCGCACCCATATCAACCACACCAAACCCCATTCTTTTCTTGCTACTGCTGTTGCTGCTGCTGCTACTCCTACTGCCACTTTTACCGCTGCCATTGCAGTCAAAAGCCAGAGCCACCAGCTGTAGCGCGCACACAGCAAGTGGCCCATCCTCTGCCGCCCAGCGGGGGGAGGATGTAGCGGCTGCTACAGCCGCCAGCAGCTGTAGCGCTGACGTGTCCTTGCCTGCGCAGTACCAGCGCCACGTGGACGGCTGAGATTGTGCCACGTGGAGGGTGGCGTTGAGGAGGAGGAGGGATTGGACTTTGACGGAGTAGGGGAGAGGAGGAGGGATGGGGGATGGGAGGTGGGTAGAGGAAGGGGATGGAAGGTGGGGAAGGGAGGGGGATGGGAGGTGGGGAGGAGAGGGGGATGAGAGGTGGGGAGAGGAGGGAGGGAGAGGGAGGAAAGGGTGGAGAGAGGAGCGAAGGCCATGCATGTAAGCAGCAAGCTTACACACTCGCTGCATCCTCACACACTCCCTCTCATCCCCTCCACAGGTCAGCAGCAACAGCTGCCGCACATACTTCCCTTCCCTCCCTCCCACCCCTCCCCCTCCACCCCCACCTTCCTCCCCCACCCTCCCACCACCACCACCGCCAGAACCACCACTCCCACCACTTCCAACCGCTCCAAACCGTCCCATATCCACCTGGGCTATAACCGCCCCCTCCTTTGTCCGCTCCTGCTCTTCGGGCTGAGCCAGAACTCCCTCTAGAGCAGCTCTCTGCAGGTAAGCACACAGCAATGGCTGCCACGCCGACTCAAATCCCTTCTCGCTCACAACTTCTCTCTCACTCGGTGCACCTTTCCCTGTGAGGCATACGGGTGCCACTTCAGCAGCAAGGCACAGAGCCCACAGCAGCAGCTCCTGTCTTCCCTTCCCTCCAGCCCCAAAGGGGTTAATCTCGGTGGAAGTAGGTGTGTGTGTGAGGGGGGCGTGTGGGTGGCAGGAGGAGACGATGGAGTGGAGAAGCGTGAGGAGCCTGGGGGCAGCAGAGCATGAGGAGCGATGGAGGAGGACGTGTAACCCTAACTTGGAAGTTTTTGACCCATGCTGCTGCTTCTGCTGTAAACTGCGCTGCTGCTGCTGCTGCTGTTGCTGTTGCGGTTGTAAGTGGTACTGCAAGGTACGGAACAGCAGCACAAGGAACTCCACAAGGCAGGTCAAAGCTGCCACGTCAGCAGTACCGCCACCAGCGCCGGCGTCCACACGCCCTTCCCTCGCTCCAGACACCTGCCGCCAGCTGTGCTCCAGCTCATCAACCAGCCACGTCAGCGTCCACGTCAGCAGCCGGGCACCAGCCGAGTCCAGATCCCCCTCTACGTCCTTCCTCCTCCGCGCCCCTCCCTTCTTCTTTTTCTCCTTCTTTCTCTTCTCGATAGAACCTACAGTGGGCATAGCAACTCCCATAGGCCGCACCCCTGCTGCCCCTGCTGCAGATACGCGCAAGAGCAGCTGCAGCAGCGGCATGGGAGGGGAGCAAGGGCAGGAAGTATCACGGGAGGGGGGAGTGAGAGTGGGTTGAGGCGGGAGGGACCAGCCAGGGGGGAAGGAGGAGAGCAGCTGCTGCAGCACCTCCCGTCCCACCTGATTCATACGCATCCTCACTCCCTCCCACCTCGCCCTCTCCCGCCTCCTCTCACTCTCCCCCTCCTCTCCATCCTTCACCGTATTCCCTGTGCTTTCCCCCTTGTCAGTCCCAACAGTGCCAGCAGTCCCGTCAGCCCCCTGCTGCTCCTGCTCCTGCTGTTCCCCCTCCTCCACCTCCACCCCTGATTCTCCAATCCTTGAGCCAACCCCCGACTCCACACCAGTACCACCAGCAGCACCGTCAAGCGCACTAGCACTAGCAGCAGCACCACCAACAGCACCACCATCAGCAGAAGGTGCACCTTCAAAAGACCCAGTAGCATCCAGCCCTGCCCGATACTCAGCACCAGCAGTACCGTCCTCACCAGAATCCCCACCAAAACCGTACCCCAACCGGTCAATAAGCCTCTCCACCTCTCCGTCCTCCCCCAGGCCATCTGCTGCAGGATCAATGGGAATGGAGACCATTGGGTGTGTGATGCTGTGCGAGCTGAAGGGGAAGAGAGACGCAGCAGAACCAGCACCGGAACCAGCACCAGCATCAGCACCACCAGCACCAGCAGCAGAGAAACCACCAGAAGAAGCAGCAGAAGCAGCAGCGGAGACGGCCTGGTGGCACTCGTTACAGAGGTCGAAATCGTCACACACAAGGCAGTGCCACCGCACGTCCTGAATGGGGCACACGCCGCAGGAATCGCAGCAGAACTGCACCACCGACAGCTGCGGGTCTATGCCCTGATGATCAAACTCTTGACTGAACTCATGCCCAAAGCCTTGATTGATGTGTTGATTTATGTCTGCTTGGTCTATGTCCATGTCTTCTGCTGAGCCCTCCCCCTCCACAACCACCCCACTCTCCACGTAGGAACCGAAACCAGCAGCACCAGCCGTAGCAGCAAGAGCAGCACCGTCTGTGCCAAACCCAGCGTCAGCACCAGAAACACCGGCAGGCCCAAAGGATTCAGAAGCAGTTCCCCCTGCTGTGGAACATTCTGCTGCTGCTGCCTGCTTGCTGTCCTTGCTGCTACTGTCAACTGCTGGTGTTTCATGTTCCTTGGCGGCCAAAGGCAGTGGAGATGGGAGAGGAGGCGGCGGCAGGAAGAGAGCACAGAGAGCCATCCTGTGGAACAGACATTGGACATTGGGAGGAGAAAACAATCACAGAGTGGGGTAAGCATAATCAGGGTGGGTTTTTGAGACGCCTCAAAAATCCCTAGGAAGAGAGCAGAGAGAGGCATCCTATGGTGGAATGGACATCGGGAGTGGGGGGAAGCGCAACGTATGACAGCATAAGCTCTTGATGCAGAGACATAGAAGGTGGGTCTATTTTTGAAGACCGTGCAGGGTGGTGTAGAGTGGTGCAGGGCGGTGATCAACAATGGAAGCATCAACGTAAGCCATTGCAGTGAGGATAGAGATGACATGGCAAGCATGAATCGTTGTGGTGCGTACCAGCATGCCTCTGCAACAACAGCATCGGAAGACAGAAGAAGGTGCCGTAACCTGGTAACCACCCACTGCATCGTCACTCCGGATTCAGTCGCAGCCACAGAAGCAGGAGAAGCAGCAGCAGATGAAGCAGCAGCGGCAGTAGGAGCAGGAGGAGCAGTTGGAGCAGCAGTTGTAGTGGGTTCAGCTGGGAGTAGCAGACTGCCTGCTACACCAACCAGCAGTCGGACAAACGAGCCCACCAGCCCTTGCTTCACCCCAGCAGAAACCCCTCCATCTTTTTCCTTCCCCCCCATCCCCTTCCCATCCACATTTTCCTCCATCCCTTTGTCATCTGAGCCGTTCCCACCCATCCCCTTGCCATCACCACCCGTGTCAACAGCATTCTCTGCTGTCACATCCGCAGCAGCAGCACTCTCTTCTGCAGCCTGCAGCGCCGAGAGAAATCGGCTGTGGAGAGCTTCTAGGGGAGAGTCAACGTGTGCAGGTGATGTAGTGGGGATGCCTGTGGCGGCTGTGGCAGAGAGGAAGTGGCGCATGCTGGAGGGTCGCAGCAGTGCGATGTGAGCCATGGCGTCTATGTGCCTCTGGAAAGCATGTGCCTCTTGGTTGGGCTGTGTCTCCAAGGCTAGAGACAGCTCCGTTGAGTCACAGGCCTGAAACACAGGAGAGGAAGGGGGCGGGGGGTGGGGTGGGAGAGGAAGGTAGTGAAGAGCTTCTTGGGAAAGTGGCGGAGGCTGGAGGGTCGCAGCAGTGTGATGTGTGTCATGGCGTCTATGTGGCTCTGGAGTGCATAGGCTTGCTGGTTGGGCTGAGTGATTAAAGCTAGAGACAGCTCTGTTCAGACGCAGGCCTGCAGCACAGAAGAGGAAGGGGAGGGGCGGGGATGGGAGAGGATTGTGGTGAAGAGCTTGGAGAGGAAGTGGCGCATGGTGGGGGGTCGCAGCAGTGCGATGTGCGCCATGGCATCCATGTGCCTCTGGAGGGCAAATGCCCGCTTGTTGAACATGTGCCCTTAAGGCTAGAGACAGGTCAGTACAAGGCGAAGAAGGAAGCCATTGAACAATTCATGTGAGCAGGAAAGGACAGGAATCGCAATTACTGCTGCCGCGAGATTGGGAAAGACTTAAGCGGATCTGGAGGAGTTTTCCAAGAAGGTGGAAAAGCTGCAAAAATCCGCCTGAGTCTCCCCCGATCTCGCGGCAGCAGTAACTGCTACTCCTGTCCTTTCCTGCTCAATAGATTGTACCATGGCTTCCTTCTCTGCCTTGTACTACGCACATGCCTGCTTGTTGGGCTGTGCCCTTAAGGCTAGAGACAGCCCTGTAGAGTCATAAGCCTCTGAATCACAGGATTTTGGGAGGAAGAGGCGGGGAGGGAGAGAGGGGGGGAAGAGGGGGTTCGGAAAGGGAGGCTGTGTGTGCATGCTTGCATGTGTGTGACAAGGGGAGTGAAGGAAGCGTTGAAAGGAGGGGATAAGGGAGGTGCGGTTGGGCATGGTCCAGAGCAAGGACCTATTCTTTCTGATGTCAGGAGAGCCCCGTCAGCTTTAAGCATGGCAGGAGCACAGAACTGACTGAAACAAACAGGCCAAACAGAGTTCGCCGGAATACCTGGACAAAATCAGACTGCGACGGATGCAGCGATCGGCACAAGCCCAGCAGCAACTCTGCAATGGCCCCTTCTCCCACAGCACCACCACCAGCAGCACCTCTCACAGGACTGCCCAGCCCCTCTTCCTTCTCCTCCTCCTCCAGGCCTCCTCTCAACACATCATGGAGCACTTCCCTCAGAAGATCCTCCCCCAACAGCTGCACCTTCCCCAGATCCACCTTCCCTTCCTGCCCCTCCACCTGTGTCTCCTCCCCCTTCCGTCCATCCCCTGCCTGTTGTTCTGCCTGTCGCTCTGCCTCCTTCTCTGCGTGCTGCTCTCCCTGCTGCGTGCCCTCACCAGCAGCAGCACCCACAAGCCCAGTCAGCACAGCCAAAGCATCCCCAACCACTCGCTCCTCTCTCTCCTCCTCCACACTCAACCCCTCCCCTCCATCTCCCCTCTCCTCCCCACTCTCCCTCCCACTCTCCGCCCCCTCCCCATCCCCCCTCTCCTCCTCCTTCCCTTCCCTCTCCCTTCCCTCCGCCACCTCCCTCTCCCTCTCCCGCGCCCTCCTCCCCTCCTCTTCCACAACCCTCTTCCACTCCCGCCACCACCCCAGCACCTTCCCCTTCACCTTCACCCATCCAAACTCCTCCTTCCGCCGCCCATACACCTCCAAACCATCCACCCTCGCCCGCGCATTCCCCCCAAAAGCGGGGCCCACGTGGATGCTGACGTGGCGGTCTGCCAGCAGGGACTCGGCGGGGGTGAAGGGGAGGTCGTACCAGCGGCGGGAGGAGCGGTCGAGGGGGAGGGAGCGGTGGAAGAGGGAGAGGGAGGAGGGGGTGTGCTGGGAGGGGGAGATTCCCACCAGGACGCGGACTCCCACGAGTAGTTGACTGGAGTTGGTGTTGGTTATGGTGATCTGCGAGGTGGGGGGTGAAAAGTTGAGGGATGAGCATTGAACGAAGGTGTGCGAGTAGGGAGAGATTCCCACCAGGACACGGACTCCCACGAGTAGTTGACTGGAGTTGGTGTTGGTTATGGTGATCTGGGGGGTGGGAAAAGGGGGAGTGAAAAGAGAGAGAAGGCAACAAGGGCCAGTGTTGATTCGGCAGGAATGAAGGGGGGGAGGGAGAGATTCCCACCAGGACACGGACTCCCACGAGTAGTTGACTGGAGTTGGTGTTGGTTATAATGATCTGGCCAAAGAAAACAAGACGGGAAGACAGGGAGGAAAGGCAGCATAAGTTGCTGCTGCTGTTTTTTGTTGCAAGGGAAAAGAAGAGTGAGGAGCAGAGGACTGGAAAGCAAGGAAAGGATGTGCGGAGAAGAGAGGGGGGAGGGGGGGGGGTTTCCACGAGCATGTGAGTGATCAAGGTGATAAAATGGAATGGGGGGGTGGGGGGGGGGGGGGGGGGGAATCATGTGGTGACGGCTAAGGTGACAAGGCACAAAGATGCAACAGACGGACCTTGAAACCCTTCGAGGAGGAAGCTTCCAGGAAGCCATCCTCAGCCATGAGATTATGCAGCACAGTTTCACTGTCCATGTCACTCATCCCCCCTGCCACGTCAGAAGCAGACCCTGAACCAGCACCTGCACTCCTCCCACCACCACCGGCACTGCCACTACCACCACCGCTCCCGCTCCCACCCCTGCTGCCGCTGCTTCCGCCACTCCCCCCACTTCCACCACTCCTGCTCCCTCGCACGCCATGCACTGAGAACCGCACTTCCGGGGTAACACACACCGTATGCTCAAAGAAATCGTGGGGGAAACTGGGAGTCCAGCCCGGGGGTTTCCGGCGGCCAATCAGGTCCAAGGGCACTGCTGGGAACGGCTTGGAAAGCTGGCCCGCAGATGAACCTCCCCCGGATGTACCTACCCCAAGTGCTCCTACTCCAGATGAGCCCACTCCCGAAGCCCCTCCTGAAGCTGCTGCAGCTGCTGCTGCTGCTGCTGCTGCTGGAGCCTCTGATTTGCTGCCTGCCCCTCCTTTGTCCACGATACAGAGCAGAGTGTTCACAGCGATTTGAAGCTCCTCCTCTGGAGAAAGAGGCTTGCGGGGAGGTGCAGGGGGAGGTGGGGGAAGGGGCGGGCGACGGGTCGGGGGAGCACTGGTGGGGGCGGCTGTAGCAGCACTGGTTGATGCGGCTGTAGCAGCAGCAGCTGATGCGGCTGTAGCAGTAGACGTTGGAGTGGCAGGCGCTCCTGCTTGAGCAGCAGCCGCGGCTGTAGCATCTGTAGCAGCAGCACTACCAGCAGCACTTGGAGCTGTAGCTTCGGTCCCAGAACCAGAGGCAGCAGCAGCAGTAGCAGCAGGGCGCATGTCAGGCACAGACGACAGCACAGTTGCAGAAACGGCGGCAGCAGCAGCAGCAGCAGCACCATCCTGCTGTGACTGCTGTGGCAGCTGAGGCAGGGTGAGAGCTAGGCATATGAGCAGCAGCAGATCGGTCTGATGCTTGGGAAGTGGAGGATGCGGCTTGAAGCGCAGTGACGGAAGGTGCGGATGCGGTGGAAGAGGAGGGAGGATGAGTGCCGAGCACCACTAGAGACCCATCCTGAAACAGCAGCACCACTCGGTTATCCCCATCCACCTCACCAATCTCCTGAGCCTGGGCCCTCCCACTCTCGCTCTCACCCTCCCTCTGCTCCTCCTCAGCTTCCTCCCCTCCTGCCTCCTCATCCATATCCTCCTCTTCCTCTTCCTCGTCATCTCCATCCTCGTACCCCTCCTCTTCCTCCTCTTCTGTCTCACTACCCTCCCTCTCCTTACTAGCTCGACACGCCGCCACGCCCACAATACAACCAGGGTGGTTACCACCAACCTGGTTACCACCCACGTGGTTACCAGCAGCAGCGTTACAGACCAGCGTATGGGAGAAGCATGGGACGCCCCTGGTGAGATGCTCTAAGGGGCCAGACGCCAGCAACACATGGCACCTGCTTCCCTCACTTATCACCACTGTGCTTCCACAGTAACTGCTGCTGCTGCTGCTGCCACCGCTGGCGCCACTGCCGCCACTACTGCTTCTGAAGCTGAAGCTGTCCCTGCCCCTGCCTATGCCCCTGCGGCTGCCTCTGCTTCTCTCCCTGCTCCTTCCAGACGCAACCTCCCACTGCAGAATGCCTGCTTCCCAGGCTCGGAACCCTTCCGAAGCTGGCTCCCGAACCTGACCCTGATGCCCAGCCACTGCAGGTGGAGCGAGTGGTCCCTGGTTGTTAATAGTGATCTCCCGCAGCAGCGATATCGCCTGCTATAGCAAAGCAGCCAGGGAAGACAGGGGCAGTAACATGCGGGATACTGGTAAACAAGGAAGAAGTAAGAAACAGATCTTCTGCAGCAGAAATCTCCTCCTTCCGTTGCTGTTCCACCAGGCCAGCGGGAAAAAAAAGGGTCTCCCTTCACTGAACCCCCTGCTAAAACGAAAACTGAAACTGCTAGAAAGACGAGCTCTGCTGAAGCTCACCTGGCCAGAGAGTGTGAGGCGAGCAAAGAAGAGCTGACAGCCGTCAGGAGAGACGAGGAACCCCTCATGCGTTGCCTTGCCACCGGGCACAAGAACCCAGATTCCCTTGTCAAAAGATGAGTTGTGAGACATCTCTCACCTGTCCGGAGAGTGTGAGGCGAGCAAAAAAGAGGCGGCGGCCGTCAGGAGAGACGAGAAACCCCTCATGTGTTGCCACCGGGCACAGGAACCCAGAACCCCTCCTTCCCACAACCCCTCCACCCTCACCCAAAGTTACACCGCTTCCTCCTTCTCCTCCTCCACCTCCTCCTCCACCTCCTCCTCCACCTCCTCCTCCTGCTTTCCCCGCTGCATCCGAAGCAGCAAGAGGGGAAGGACCGGTCCGAGCCTGATGCTGCCAGGGTAGGTCCGAGCCTGATGGCCGGAGCGACAGGCGTCGCAACGTGATGTGCTGACATGGCATGAACAGAAACAGATCAAATCCATTCTCCGCATCATCGTAATCATCCTCGTCGTCGTCCTCTTGGTTGTCGTCTTCATCCTCGTCATTAGCTGATTCGCCATCGTCTATGGTTGCGTAGTACAGTGCAGCCTGTCACACAAGACAAAGGAGTGAACTCTATATCATTATACCATTGAAGAAAGTGCTGGAAAATAATATGAGATACCAATAATCTCTTTCAGATCTATAAAGAGACAGAACAAGCGGATACTCAATCAGGGTGAAAAAAACAGAGGACAGGGAAGATGAACAACAAGAAGATTAAAATCTGAAAAGGGAAGGAAACTGCAGACAAGGTAACGCAGCACAGTAGAATGAAAAGCAAGCCACTTAGACAAAGGCACAGTCCTCACTTTGCTGGTGAGAACTGTCAGCTGCATCCGGGGACCTTCCTCATCATCCCCATGTGCATGCTCATCATCCTCATCCCCATCATCCCCTTCATCCCCATCCTCGTGCCCCTCTCTCTCTTCATCTTCGTCCTCCTCTTCCCTCTGCACCACACACACATCCACTATCTCCTCCACTCCCACCTTCCCTCCTCCCTCCCCCTCCCCCTCCTCCTCCCCCTCTTCCCTATCCCCCTCCTTCTCCTGCCGCGCACGTAAAGCTCCTCCTCTTCCTAGAGGTTGGCTCGTTGGGAGCTGGAAAGTGGCAACCAGCTGGGCATCATACCCTACAGCCACTGCAAACAGGAGCGCTGCTGAGGGGGTTGCCACGAGCAGACGTGCCTGCAGGAAAATAGAGTGGTTCAAGTGGGAAGGGGAAGAGGGGTATTGAGGGGGGTTGGCTCGTTGGGAGCTGGTAGGTGGCAACCAGCTGGGCATCGTAACCCACAGCCACTGCGAACAGGAGCGCTGCTGAGGGGGTCGCCACGAGCAGACGTGCCTGCAGGAAAAAGAGTGGTTCGGATGGAAAGGAGGGAACGGATGATTGAGGTGAATTGGTTCGCAGGGAGATGGAAGGTGGCAACCAGCTGGGCATCATACCCCACAGCCACTGCGAACAGGAGCGCCGCTGAGGGGGTCGCCACGAGGAGACGTGCCTGCAGGGAATAGAACATAGTGGTTCAGGTGGGAAGGGGAAGAGGGGTATTGAGGGGGGGTTGGTTCGCAGGGAGCTGGAAAGTGGCAACCAGCTGGTCATCATACCCCACAGCCACTGCGAACAAGAGAGCTGCTGAGGGGGTCGCCACGAGCAGACGTGCCCGCAGGCGATTCGAGTGAATTAAAAGGGGAGGGATGATGGGGACAACATCACTAGTTAGGCTCAAACAAAAAGTGCGAGATGATGCAAATTCCAGAAGTAAAAGCAGCTTCACAGAGACGGAAAGAGAGAATACCTTCTTCTGAACGCACGCACCTCCAAAAACGGGCCTCCTGCCAGGGGCAACCAGCACATCCTCTTTATAACCACGTCCGCTTCTGGGATTACTACTTTGCCTGCCCCATCCGCTTCTGCTTCACCCTCACCCTTCTCCTCATCATCCTCCTCCTCCTCCTCTGCCTCCTCCCCATTCTCCTCCTGCTGTTGCTCCTCCTGCTCCTCCGCCTGCTCCTGCTGCTGCCTGTGCGGCCGGCGGTGTTTCCTTGCCGTACAGAGAGCTGCACGCAGGTTCACAGCGGAGCGAGTGACGAGCGTGCAATCACCGTCCAGCACTAGCACCTAAAAGAGAGCAAGGAAGTCGAATAAGGGAGGGGGGATGAGGGGGAAGGGGCCAAGTGAGAACATGAGGGGAGAGCAGCAGACAGGTTCACAGCAGAGCGAGTGACGAGCGTGCAGTCATCGTCCAGCACTAGCACCTGGAGGAAGGAGAAGGCTGAGAGGGGGGTTGGAGTCGGATGAAAGATGACAAGGAGACTGAGGAAAGGGGCCGGGGGGAAAGAGGGAGGCCACATGTGGGTTCTTAAATTAGCATAAATGTTACGTACTGGTGTAATATTCATCTTACCTCGACCTGGTTCGTCCCTGCAACTGCTAGCAGCGAGTCAATGGTGGGGTGGAAGGCGAGCATGTGCACGGGATACCCCACGTCCACCTCGCCTATCTCCATCAGTGGTCCGGTGCTACTGCCTTGAAAGGAAATACTGGAAGGGAGAATGACTCACCTCGACCTGGTTGGTCCCTGCGACTGCAAGCAGTGAGTCAACAGTGGGATGAAAGGCCAGCATGTGCACGGGGTAGCCCACTTCCACCTCGCCTATCTCCATCGGTGCTGCTGCCTCCTCCACCGAAGGTACAGGTGCCACGTCAGAAGCTACTGGCGCCAGCTCAGCAGCAGCACCAGCAGTGGCGGCAGCAGCAGCATGGTCGTTATCCCCTCTATAATCCGCTCCTGTACTGGCAGCAGTGCGAGGGACTATATCCTCAGCCTCCCACAGCCTTACAGTCGACCCCGCCCCAATAGCCACCTTCCCCCCGAGACTGATTGTCAACAGCGAGGCCGGCCCAGCAGCTGCTCCTGCTCCCCCTATCCCAACCCCTGCCGCATCTGCTGCATCTCTTGCACCTGCTACAGTCTCTAAACCTGCTGCTACATTTTCTCTTGCGCCCGCTGCGCCTGCTTCTCCTGCTGCTGCACCTGCTGCTGCAGCATCGCCTGCTACAGAAGCTGACGCAGAAGCGGGGGGCAGAGGGAAGGAACCAGCCAGGTACCGACGCAGGGGCCTCCCTAAGTCTGCTTGCTCTGCTGGCAGCGCTGCAGGGAGGAGGGCTGGTGCAGCTACCGCTGCTGCAGTCCCCTGCCTTTCCTGACCTGCATCACTTCCTTCAACCGCTAAGCTTGGTTCAACTGCTGAGCTTGGTTCAACTGCTGAGCTTGGTTCACCTACTGACGTCCTCTCTGCCTCTCCTCTCATCTGGGACCCAGCCTCCTGCTCCGTCCCACTGCTTCTCTCGCCTAGCAGAGTCGATGCTTTTGCTTCTGATTCGTCACTCTCAATTGGCTCCCCACTAGCAGTCACAGACTTCTCCTTCCCTCCCTTGTCTTCCTCCTTTGCCAGATCTTGCCCGTCCTTCACCTCCTCCTTCGCCTCCCCTCCTTCCTCCTCCTTTGCCTCACCTCCTTCCTTCTCCTTTCCCTCACCTCCTCCCGTCCCCGTCACACCACTCTCAACCACCTCCCGCCCTTCCCCATCCCCTTTCTCCTCCGGCTTTCCCCCTTCCTCCTCCACCTCCCCTTTTGAGTCCACCACCACCACACACTCCTTTCCCTCCTCACCACCACCTTCCTCCTCCAACCGCACTCGGCTCTTTCCCCGCCTAGCCCCTTCAGCCCTCTCTCTCGCCAGCGCCCTGCGTCTCAGCCAATGCCTGCGCGCCAGCTGGCAGATGGTATCCACCACCTGCTGCCGACTCAGCTCCCCGAGGACCAACACTCGAGTCGCTGCTGCTGCTGCTGCTGTAGCAGCTGCGGGTGGTGCTGCTAATGTTGCTCCTTCTGGTGCTGCTAATGTTGCTCCTTCTGGTGCTGCTAATGTTGCTCTTCCTGGTGCTGCTACTGTTGCTCCTCCTGGTGCTGCTCCTGTTGCTGCTGCATCATCCCCGTTCACGCCCTCTCCACTGGCCTCCTCCTGACACTTCTCCTTCTCACCTTCCATCTCAACTTCCTTCTCAGCCCCACTAACATCCTCCTCCTCTTTCTCCTCTTCCTCACCTTCCTCACCTTCTCCCCTCCATGCCTTTCCTGACAGAGCGCCCTCGAGCCCTCTCACAACCTCCTTGCTCCACATGCTCTCCTGCAACAGCAGTTCTTGCCCTCCATTCCGTTTCTCCCTCCCCAACAGCCCTTCCCAGCAGAGCTTCTCTGATTGGCTCAAAAACGCCTCCACTCCCACCAGCCAGTCCGCTTCAACTTCAGAATCCCCTTTCTTTCCTCCTATTCCTCCTACTCCTCCTTGCTCCTTCCCTCCGATCCTGCACCCACCAGGCCATCCAAACGTGCCTCCTGGCAAAGCCACTCCGCCTTCTCCTCTCCCAACCCCTCCTGCTGCCGCAGCCTGTCTCCCTGACCCCACAGAACGGGGTTTCAGCGCAAAGCACCCCTTGAAAACGGTCCCATCCCCGCCTACCCCACTCCCCCCACTGGTTTCCCCTCTCCCCCCTCCCCTTGAAACCTCCCCCTGCCGAGCCAAGCCTGTTCCGGACCTCCTGCGCCGAAACCGCTCCCAAACCGCAGCAGGGGAAGACCCCGAACCTGTCGCCGACTGATTAAAAGCCCCCTGGTTCGGCAAGCCCGTAGCATCCGAACCAGCGCCATTAGCACTACCACCGGCACCACCAACAGCAGCCGCAGAGCGTCTAGCAGGTTCCGCCAGGGAACCACTCGTGTGGGCACCAGGAGGGGCGCTGGACGGGGGAGCCGGTCCCGTCGCACCGCAATCACAGAAGAATCTCGAAAAGCGTGAGTAGACGAGCTTATGGCCCTTGTGGCACACGGCAGCGCAGACGGAGCAGCAGCCGCGGGAGACAGTGAGGTCGCAGGTGTAGCAGAGGTACCAGTGCTGCTCCATGAAGTTGCTCCCACTCACCACGAACGAGCACACGCGGGAGGCTAGCGCCCTCTCCTCCTCCGCCTCCGCTGCTGCTTGCGCGGTTAAATCTGCCTCAGACAACCAACCTGGAGCTGCTGCCGCTGCAGCAGCAGCTCCCCCTCCTGCTGCTGCTGCTCCTGCTGCTGATCCAGATGCCGCAGGGAGGAGTGATGAGCAGGAGCATGAGGTCCGGATGGAGTCTGCAGGGGTGTTGAGGAAGCGGCTCTCGAGTTCCTCATCGGACCACCCATCCTCTCCACCACCTTCGAGTTTTTCTGCATCGTCATCCACCTTTCCCTTCTCCTCTTCCTCCTCGTCGTCGCCCTCTTCCTCCTCCGATTCCTCTTCGTCCTCCTCCTCCTCCCCCTTTCCCTCCTCATCCTCGTTCTCTTCCTCTTCTTGGTCTTCATCCTCTAACCCCTCCTCGCCCATCCCTTCCCCCGATTCATCATCTTTAATCCCATCCCTCACCCTCTCTTCTCCAGCTGCCCCACTCTCCAGACCATCACTACCCTTGCAGGCGGACAGGACAAGGGACAGAAACGACAACAGCACGTGCAGAACCTCCGCTCTCGCCCCACCCACTCCTCCCACATCAGCAATCTCGTTCTCCTTACTACCACCACCCTCACCAACCCCCAACTGAACCTCAACTTCTGCGTGTTTTCCTTCTCCCTCTCCTCCTGCGATTTCTTCATCAGCTCGTTTTTCACCCACCTCCTCCTGCGACACCTCTTTTGAAGTCCCCTCACCCTCACTAGACGCATCTAGCCCCTCCTCTCTTTTCGCCATTTCATCCAGAACAGCAACTGCACCAGCCACCAGCGCCAGCAACTGTTCCCCAACAAGCCCTGCGGTCACACTCTTTACTGCGGACACACTCTTTACTGCGGACACACTCTTTACTGCGGACACACCCTTTACTGCGGACACACTCTTTACTGCGGACAAACCCTCTACCGCGGACACACCCTCTGCAGAAGAGGGCTTTCCAATCTCTGCGTGGAGTGCTGCTCGCACACCGACCTCCAGCAGCCTCTGAACCAGCTGCGGGTTCGGGGTTTCCGCCAAAGCAACCGCCTTCAGCACTGTAACGACTGCGGTTACAGCGAGTTCGACGACCCTCGCGTCAACAGCTGCGAGTTTCGTTCCCTCCTCCTCTGCCTTGACTTCGCGTCTGTCTTCGCTTCTCTCGGATTCAATCACTACCTCCGCACGGACATCAGCACCGCCTTCCACGTCACCTTCCGACGTCCCCTTTCCTTTCTCCTCTCCCTCAACTGCTCTCTCCTCATTTTCAGACACGGAGATGTCAGCCGCGTCCCCAGCCGTAGATGCCTCGTCTCGGCGATCACAACCGTCCAAGAGAGATTTCAGAAAATCCTGCGTATCCGACATAAGCAGCCGCTCCGATTCCGGAAATTCTCTGGTTGATAGATCCGCGGTCGCTGATACGTCACTGAGAAAGACCACGTTTCTCGCTTCGTCTTCTCCGAGCCTGTCACCAAGCCCCTTTTGGTTGTCCGAACCAGATCCATCAGGCTCGGGTCCCGGCTGCACTGTCCGTAACAGCCACGAAGCCACAGAAGTGACGACATCCATAGACGGATACATCGCGCGAACAATTGAAATGTAGATTTCCGCCAAAACGTTTATGCGAAGCGTCAGAAGCGCAAAACTTGCCTATTGTTTTCAACCGGTAAACGGAACCTTTTTTTTAGTTTTTTTACCAGAAGGCCTACAGCGGCCAGCGTAATATACAGCAGCGAAGTCCGGTTCAGGGAATTCACCCAAAATTACTATCCTTATTTCTTCCTCTTAGTGTAGCGACTAATGCTGCGTCTATCCTCCCCCACCCACCTCCCTCCCACGATATCACACGCAGATGATGCCAGTTTGCCAGACTCGGGAATTGAAAGAAAATGCAGGAAAATCTCGTCGACTTACTCAGTTGCTTGCCGGCCTGAACAAGCACTGATACAGAAGCAGGATTCAGAACCAAGCTCCTGAAGTGCTGAGAAGCAACTGAAGACAACTCCCACAAGCAAGCTCCCTCTAGCAACAAGCTCTATGGAAATCGTGAAAGAAGGCTGATGCAGAGAAACTGGTTCTGGTCGGACCAGAAAGCTGAAGCAAGGGGCTGAAGGCTCGAAAATCTGCTTGTTAGGTTCCAGGCTCGGAAATCTGCTTTGGCACAGGCATGGATGCTTCGTCTGATTTGCGCTTGCGTGTGTGCCTTCCATAGTGGGGCAAGATTACGAAATCTTTACGGGAGCTAGATTCGAGCTGGCAATTCGAGATCCGACGTTGCATGGGCGAATGCGTGTAGGGTGGTGGAATGCGTAGAGCTGAACTGAGTCTCTCCCACCCCACACGAATCCTTTTTTTCGCAGGCTGTAAAAATGTTTAGGGCAACCTGCACTTTCAGTTCAGCTTGCCCGTACGTCCGTCGTGGCCGTAGCCGAGCCTATCTGGTAGCCTCTCCATCAATCGATATTGTCATCCCGATTATGCATGCACCGAGTCTAGACTTGTGTCAATATGGTAATTACAGGACAGTGTATTATTCAAGCACTCGTTTATTATAACAGCTACCCATATATTACACAACAGCAGAATACAATCAGGCCAATATTATTCCAGTTAACCTTGTTGGCCTGCTGAAACAGCATCAGGGTGTACCGGAACAGGTGCAAAATAATTTGTCACGATGCCCATAACAGCAAAACTGTGGCAAAACAAAGTGGAAGACAGGGTGAGAGGCACACTGGAGTCAGCAGGTGGCGTGTGGAGGCAAGAATAATGCGTACAAAAAGGTGAACAGAAAGGAGCTTAGCGCAAGAAACGGAAAAATCATGAGTGGAAACTGGATAAGCAGCAGAAGACAATGTCTCTCTCCCAGTCAGGAGATGTTACCAGAAACAGCTCAGCAAAATCTTATCCACTGCAAACGCTGTATAACATTGGGCATTCGTACCTGAGCGCGGTGATAATTTGCTTCAAATCATGCTCCACGTATTTCATATTTGCCAAAGCTTGTGCCGCACAAAGTAGAGCCAGCCAGCAGGCAAGCTTTTGCTGCAAGGAAAAAATAAAGTTAGACAAATGAACGAACGGGAGCGAATGCGTGTGTGTGAGTGGGACTTGGACAAAGGAGTGGAAGAGGAAGGAGGGAAAACGGTCAAAGCAAGAATAAATAGCTGAATCAGAACCAGTACTTCAAATTTCTCCGCTCCTCTTCCAATCGTCTCGACATGCATATAGCAACGTAAGTACGTTCGCTGAGACGTTCCCTGCTTGTCTCCTCTCAGCCATTGTTTCGCCTCCTCCTCGAAACACCCATTCACCTCGCACACCGACACCTAAAAACGCTTCTGAAAGCTCTGAGCCCTCTCCGCTCACCCGCATCGTGACGCCAACCCAATAAACGTTTAGGTTCCTCCTCAAAGATCCCCCACGCGAGATTACAGAAAGGGATCTTATAAATACCGAGCCCTTTCCGCTCACCTGCATAATGACGCCAGCGATCCCAATATCTCGGCACCGCTCCCGACCCATCCCAACACCGACATCATCAATCAGGATCTAAGGACACTTAGCCCTCTCCGCTCACCCGCATCATGACGCCGGCGATCCCGAAGAAGACGGCCATCATGCTCGCCATGTCGATCGGCAGATCCTCCGCATTCACCACCGGCGGGACATACTTCTTCACCGCGTCTGGTCTCCGCGGGTCGCCGCTCGTGCTAACGCTGCCGCTGCTGCTTCCTGCGCTTCCACCTGCTGTCAACCGCTTCATCTCTTTACAAAAGCTACGGATCGAAAAACGCTGGCTGGTATGAAACGATCGTGTTGCGGCGAATCGGGATCTGAAGGAATCAAGAAGGTCGCACGCCGTGCGGTGTCAAAAGCGAGACAGCACGAGAGAACAAGAGCTTGACCGAATCCAGGCCAAACTTCCCAGGACACATTAACCGCTAAAGGTGGACTCGTTTGAATATTGCCACCACAAGCCTTTCAAAAGCTTGAATAAGCATACTGCTCATGTGCTACAACAGCTTTGACATACGGAGTTCAGAAGTACGGTTTTTTGTATGAATGGTGGCCTGACGATCAAATTTCAATACGTTTCCATTCTGCCTTCGTTGCTTTGAAGATGGCGTAATGTAATATTTTGGAATATATAGATGACAATTCTTTATAAAATCGATGCGGCGGTGACCAATGTAGGTGCCCATGTAGGTGCCTATACTTTCTTAATATCTGTATGTCAATGCAAATTATGTGTGATGCTATTATGTGATTGAGAATTTGAAGTTAAAATAAAGAAACCATGGAATATTTATTTCACTAGAATTGCTGAGCTATCTGCCTCTAGATTTTTTCTCACTTTCCCCATCTGGAATGCATCTAGAAACGGTTTATTCAGTATATATTTTTAACTGTCGCCATATTAGGGCAGCTCTTACACGGTAATTCTGATCGTCTACTGCATGCCTGCCAACACTCCCACAACTGCTGGCCAACACTCTCGTTCAATTGGGCTCGTCGAGGATTCCACCTCGCCTCACCCTCATTGAACTCTTTCCATTGCGCTTCCTAATTACCCCTACCATGGGTAGGATCCTCACCAATCCCGACCTTCCTCCTCTTTTCTGGTCACGCGAGTGACTTCAATCCAGCCTGGAACAACCCAGAGTACGAAGCGCGCATTCCTATCCGTAACGCGAGGAGACCAAAAAGGTAATGGTTCAATGAAAGGCATTAACTACGTTTTTCTCGACAGTGTCATTCGTCCTCAACAATCGTATCATTTTCAGGTCATTCCGTCCTCAGTCAAGGCTACCTCGCTGCTGTAGTATTTTAGCAGCAAGTAGCTGGTTTCGTTCACACCTCGCTTAGCTCATCTCCATTCTCGAGTCATCATGGGCTCCTGTGGCTTGCTATTCCCGCTGCTCTGCGTCCTTGCCTTGTTTCCGTTTAGCTATGGCTCCGCTCAGGAAAGTTCAGTATTCACGTTCAAGCTTCGCCATCAGCATACAGTTTCAGCAGATAACCGGCCTAGCACTTTCGGCTCTTACAAGCAGTGGCTGGAGAGGCAGACACAGTCTCGAGCAGCGGTTATTTTGAGGCGCATTCGTAAGGTGCTGTTTCAAACCTGACACGTTCCATCCGTCAACCTTCTGCCTTCAGTACGTTTCATTTTTCGTCGCTTTCACCTATTATTCGTCTGGTTCTTTTCAGAGAGCTGCGACCTCTGGATCTAGGAAGCTTCAGGAAGGGGGTCAGGAATCAACTCTTCCGATCAATGGAGGCGTTGAGCAACTGGGGTATGTCACCAGTCGGTCGGTCGTTTGCTTTCTGAATATGATGTATATCTGTGCCCTGACACAGCACTGCTCAACAGGACCTATTACGTTACACTGCAGCTGGGTTCTCAGAAGGAATCATTGAACACCATCATTGACACTGGAAGCGACCTGTTGTGGGTCAGGTGTACTGGCTGCGTAAACTGTCCGCGAGATACAAGAGTAAGGGATCCTTTTTGTCATGGTACGAGTTTGCATGATGGCAATGACCTGATTTCCACGTTGTTATACATGTCAGGCTCGTTCATTCAATGCTCAGCAGTCAGCGACTCGTCAGAGAATCGATTGTGCTGAGTGCAAAGCGATCAACGAGACAACCTGCGCTGGCCCATATCGAGCAGGGTGTGGGATTGGTTGCACAAGGCTGGGGGTTCGAGGTCGCTGCATTGCTGGATGCGGGTAAGTGGAACGGATTGATTCAGATATAACTCGATTCATATGCAGTGTTAACGTGTTGATAACGTTGTGGTTAAGCAGGCCGAACGGCACAAGTCGCTGCAATTATGCTGTCATATATGGTGATGGAAGCTACACGGGTGGAGTTGTGATGCGTGATGTGTTAACTCTCCCAGGCCGACCAGCAGAGATATCAGCACCGGTTGCCTTTGGGTAATCAGAGTTATATTTTAGACAGTTTGTATCATATGTGGACTCGCTTACTAACTCCCTGGCTTTTTCTTTCAGTTGTGACTTCCATGAGGCCCCAGGGCTTCTCAAGGATCCCTTGATTGGTCTGATTGGCCTTGGCCAAAGCCCTCTTTCCATTCCGTCACAGCTAGTGCAAGCCGGAATTCTCCAGGGGAATATAATCTCCCATTGTTTGGGTGGGGAGGATGGGGGCGGATTCATAACTTTTGGCCCACCTCCTATGGCTGACTCGAGCATGCAGTTTGTGCCTCTGGGGAATGACACCACGTAAGTGCCTATGCTACAAGTCTCCAGGCTGGACCCATTTGTGCTCTCTGACATGTGCTTCAATGTGCAGGGTGTACAATGTGACGATATTTGGTATTCAAGTGAATGGGGTGGATTTACAAATCCCTGCTGGCACATTTTTTGGAACTGGTGGCATCATTGATAGCGGCAGCACTGCGCTCACGCTCCCAGAAGCAGCGTACACTCCTCTGAGAGAAGCAGTAGGTTCTGCTCAACGCTTCCATGCCCTTTCCTTTCAACCCTTTATATTCGTTTGGTGTTATTGATTTTCATTGGGTTTATCATTATCTGATACAGGTAATCCAAGCTGTTGATGGGAAAGCTCAAAGGCTTTCTCAGGAGGAAATCAACCAGCTGGCTGGTGGGAACGTCGCATCGGTTTTGAATCTGTGCTACAATGTTTCTTCAAGGTATTTGTCTTGCTTCAGATTATTATCCATGCCATTCTGTTTTTGGCTTCGTACTGAGCATGCCGTATTATTATAATCCAGCGATACGGCGACGCTGCAGTCTGCATTCCCAACAGTGGCAATTGTGATGGATGGTGCCAACCTGGAGTTACCACCCCAGAACTACCTATGGCTTTTTGTGAGTATCCATGGCCTGCCTGCTACACCAGCATATGTAATATTGGCAGGGATAATCGATTTCTTTTGTTTGCTGGCCTGCAGGACAATTTGGTATGTTTCTGTGTGTACGACTCAAACAGTGTGGTGGGTCAACCCATCACCATAATTGGAGGTACCGTAATGAGGAAAATGGCATTTGGCATGCATACCTTCCTGCATTTTGGCAGGGCACCCTTGCTGACATGTTTTCATTCATTGTGGATGCAGATGTAGCTATGCGTAACAAGTTGGTTGTGTACGATAGAGGGGCACGAAAGATGGGATTTCAGACACTCGATTGCAAATCTTCCTAAGTTTTACTCGATGTGATTATACCGTGCTAGAAATATATTTTGTTCTAAGAGGAAGTATATAATCAGATATCAGTGCATAGAATATGGTATTCGATGTGAGTTTATCCGAGATGTGCTCGTAAAGATGGATTGTCAGATTTCACACAGCAATCACATTCAAAGTCGCGGTTGGCGCCAAATCTAGCTTCACCACCTTCCGTACCACATGGGATGCCGTACCGTGCTGGGGTATGACAAACTCTCAACGTAGTGACCGGTATCCCACCTATTCTAGTGTCAAGCGTTTCCTAGTTGTGAGTACGGTAGTATGGAAAATGTCGAGTGTGGGACCTCGTGGTAGATAGTAGATAGTAGTAGTCTCCGATATTCACGTATGATCCATCTGATGCGTTTCGCATGATGGAAACAGTAGCAAATCTTGAAGCAGAGCTGTACCGCGTACGGAGAGACCGGCGCCTGCTGCTCTCAAACCTCTTAACGTCGCTAGCGGCGACCGGCTGGGCAGACTCGGACCTGGACAGAATCAATGTGGATTACATCCTGTGGTGCGCCACGTCAGGTACTGTTAGGAGAACTGACAGAGGCTGACAGTGTCAGACCAGACTTCGTCCTTGCTCCCTCGTTTACTGTTTATTGAGTTTGAGTACACTGAACGGCGGCTCGGCTATTTCCCCAGTTATTCGTCAGATTCAGTACGCTTAAAGACCATATTCGCATGCTAGATCTTTTCGTATCGGCTCTTGATCCATCCTGCTTTCGTTCGACCTTTCAGGAACACGCGTGGATATTAAAGCAGCCATTTCAGCCCAACCAACGGTCACTCCGAGGGGTGAGGTGAGAGCTCGACTCGCTTTCCTCGTGTTTCAGTTATTCGATGCCTCAACTGGCTGTATTCCAAAAACTGCGGTAGCATTAACCTCTCCTATACACGATTGGATGCTCGGCTTCAAATCAGAATCAGATCCCATCGAGAAACAAAGCTCAAAATTAGCCTCCACGTCACACCACCCTTATCTTGGCTTTATTTTTGTCATTGTTCTTGCCTCTCAACCTCTCCGCACCCCACTCAACTCCGCCTCGCAGGCAGACTTCGTCACAGCCTCCACAGTCATTCTCTCCTCCACAGAGCCCTCCGGCCCTCCGCCTGCTCGCCTCGCTCCCGCCTTTCCAGTCCCCTCCCGCACAGTCCCAGAGTTCCCTGCTCCCCCACGCCTCCCCCCTGAGCCCCACCATCCCCGGCCAGCTTCAGACTTAGCCTCTGTTTCTGCATACGCTCCTTCTGCTCCTCCTGCTGCTCCTTCTGCACACTCTGCTCCGTCGTTCCGTGCTGCTGTCCCTTCAGCTGCTCCAGATTATGTCTCGAACCAATCATCTAGAACCCATGGGTCCGATTCAGCAGCAGCAGCAGCAGCAGCAGCAACAGAAGGCGGAGCAGCAGCCGGAGCAGCAGCAAGGAGAGGTTGGGGAGGAGGAGCGCGTGCAAAACCATCAGTCAGATCCGAACCAGAAACCCTCCTAGCCTCCCCTCGGCCTCTCTTCCCCCTCTCTCCTCCTGCCGAGCAGCAGGCCCCAGATTCGCCTCCCCCAGTCAAGCCTAAGGCGCAACAACTAGCGAAGAAGCTGTTTGCCACGCCATTCGCAGCATCACTTGAAGGCTATTCCACTGAGAGTGATGTTCGCTGCTCCACTGCGACTGATGCGACAGGGGCGCTGAACTGGGGGGGATGGGGACAGGTGGGGGCGAGTGGCTTTGGGGGTGAAGGGGAAGGGTTTGGACTGGAAGCAGGGACAGCAGCAGCAGCAGTAGCAGATGCAGCGGCAGCAGCAGAAGCAGAAGCAGCAGCGGCTGCAGCGGCGGCGGCAGGAGGAAGAGGAAGGAGAGGAGGAGCGGGGGAAGACACAGGAGGAAGAAGACTAAGGGAAAGTGTTGGAGGGAGCGATGGAGCACGGGAGAGAGTGGCAGTGGCAGGGTCGGTGGAATCAGCTTCAGTGTTTGTGGCTTACTCTTCCTCTGCCTCTTCTGTTCACTCCATGTACGCCCTCTCCCAGGGGTCGCCGGGCACACCAGAAGCAGCAGGAGCAGCTGGAACAGCAGCAGAAGCAGCAGCAGCAGGAGCAGCAGGGGCCATTAATCATGAAAACCAAAAGCCTTCTTCTGTTCACTCCATGTACGCCCTTTCCCAGGGGTCCGCGGGCGCACCAGCAGCAGCAGCAGCAGTAGCAGGAGGATCAACAGATTTAGCAGCAGCTTGGGGAGGCCAGCCTTCCCAAGGTAAGCCCTTCCCATCGTCACCATCAGGTTCTCGACCAGTACACTCTGTTGATACCCCAAGCCCAGACCTTATTCAGCCACCAATTTCGAGCCCTGTCATGACACCAATTCAGGAAAAGCTTTCATCACCGCTGCTGCAAGATCCTCACAGTCCTGCACAGACTCAGTTTCAAATCCGGTCGCGGTCGCCTCAGCCATTCGCCTCAGTTTCTCCACGTTCCCCTCAGCCACCCTCCCCTCGTTCTCCTGTAAGCGCTAGCAGGAGCGCTGCTTCTGCCCAACCAGCATCACCTCAACATAATGAGACTCCACCACGTGAACCGCTCTATCCTCCTGCTTCCCCTGCAGGAAACAGCAGGAGTCCCGCCTCCGCCCACCATTCTTCCGCTCCCCGATCGGCCGCAGCAGCAGCTGCTCTGAGTGCACTCGGTGCTGCTACTCTCGCAGGTGCTGCCATCCCGGCTGCTACAGCCACTCCAGTCGATGCATCTGCAGGCATGCCTCACCACCACCAGCATGCACAGAACCACGCTCCCTATTCCCACGGCCCATCTCCGCATAGATATGGTTCGGATAGTGTGGCGAGTAGTGCAACTGGAGGGGGGCGTGAGTCGGCTGCTAGTAGCAGGGGCGGTGGCAGCACTGGAGGCGTTTCTGTGGCCAGCAGTGGGCATGGGTTTGGTGAGCGGATGAGTGGCGGTGCGGGTGCTGCTGCTGCAGCTGCTGCTGCTGCTGCTGCTGCTGCTGCTTCTGCTGTGGGTTCTAGAGCAGGGGCAGCATCAAGGGGTTTGAATGCCCCTCCATCTGCCACTCCTGCAGCTGCCGCCGCCGCTGCTGCTGCAGCAGCTTCTGTAGCAGAGGTTACCCCCCCGGTCCCAACCCGACTGGATTTCCAGTCGCCTGTAGGGGAACCAGGAAGCAAGAAGAGAGAAAGTGCGAGAGGTAGAGCTGAGGAGTCTGGTGGAAAGGGAAGCGCCTTGGGATCTGCTTGGAGATCTGGTGGGGCGAATACGAAGCTGCCACCTGGCACTGATGGGGATGATGACGATGATGATGACGTGGCGTCTTTCGACTCGTCTTCGTGTTCGGATTCTTCCGAAATGTCTTCTACACTAGTAGCTGGCGGTGACGTCGACTCGCCAGCTGGCACGGGAGATGGCGACGCTGCCAGCTCAGCACGGGGGCGGCTGAAGTGGCCGTTGCGCCAGCTGGCATCAGGGCTGACGGTGGAGGAGCTCCAGGCGAGCGCATATGAAGTGATGCTGCTCGCAGCAGCAGAGTCTGGGTGAGTTTGTGTCACTTTTCATATGAGAATATTGGACAGTGAAACAAGCGATCGCATATGAAGTGATGCTGCTGCACGCACCAGCACAATCCAGGTGAGTAGCATGCTTTCTTTTGCTTTGTTCTTGTGCCGTTTCTACTGGTCATTCAAAGCGGTTAACCTGTCCCCGCATCTACTCTACCACAACCCCCCCCCCCCCCTTTCCTTCTACCTCAGAGCCATTTCTGCACCAGGGCCCACTACCAGTGCGGCCAACAGCAGCAAGAGCAAGCTGCGCCGGCCCGAGTCCCCAGTAGAACCCAAGTTCAGGTCCCCAGGCGGCTTCATGTCCCGCTTTGCCAAGAAGGTTGGCGTCAACGTGGGACAGTTCAAAGGGACCAAACCTGTCCTCTTCCTCCACTCTACTCCACGCACCCATTCCCTCCCCTCCCCTGTCCTCAGGCTCATTTCCGCACCAGCGCCTGGTGCCACTAGTGCAGGCAGCAGCGGCAGCAGCAAGAGCAAGCCTCGGCGGCCTGAGTCCCCGGTAGAACCCAAGTCCAAGTCCCCAGGCGGCTTCATGTCCCGCTTCGCCAAGAAGGTCGGGGTCAACGTGGGGCAGTTCAAAGGGACCAAACCTTTCTTCTCATCCACTCTACTCCACACACCCACTCCCTCCCGTCCCCTGTCCTCAGGCTCATTTCTGCACCAGCGCCTGGTGCCACCACCGCGGCCGGCAGCGGCAGCAGCAAGAGCAAGCCTCGGCGGCCCGAATCCCCTGTGGAGCCCAAGTCCAAGTCCCCAGGTGGCTTCATGTCCCGCTTTGCCAAGAAGGTCGGGGTCAACGTGGGGCATTTCAAAGCACCCAAACCTGCTGCTGCCGCTGCTGGTGGAGGTGGAGAGAGAAGCGGTCGGAACGATGGTGGGGATGGGAGTGGAGGGGAGGGAGGAGGAGAAGGGGCCTTGTCTCCAGAGATTGCTCGCATGAGGCAGCAACTAGGGGTAAGACAAGGCACGAGGTTTCTGGCGCTTTCTCCTCGTGCCTTGTCCTACCATCATTTTGCCTTACCCCACTGTTCGTCCCATGCGTGCACCTGCTTCTTTCCAGTCTCTGTTCGTGATTTTTTTGTCTTTTTTTTCCCCTTAAACGTTGCAATATAGAAATCGTCTCGCGCTCCTTTCCCTTTCCACAGGTACCCGAGCCTCTCCACGCGCTCGTCCTCTCAGCCCTCTTCCTTTGAGGCGCCTCAAAAGTCGTCCTGCCTCTCTTCAATCCCGCTTCATCACTTCCCCTCGTCCCCGCTTCTCTCTCGCCCCTTTTCCACAGGTACCCGAGTCTCTCCACGCGCTCGTCCAGCCCTAGTAAGTCGATATTTAAATCAACTCAAAAAATGACTTTCTACACGTATCTCTCTCGTCCCCGCTTCTCTCTCGCCCCTTCTCCACAGGTACCCGAGTCTCTCCACGCACTCGTCCTCTCAGCGCTCTTCCTCCCCCCTCCATCACACACCGTCGAAATGCCATCCCCCATCAGCCCGCTCACCGGCACAGCAGCAGCAGCAGCTGCTGCCGTCTCCATCCCTCCCCTCCCGCTCCCTCTCTGCTTGCTCCTCCACCTGTCCCCCATCCCCGCCTCCCTCTCCTCCTCCTTCTCCCCGGGAGTTGGTGCACTCAAGGCCGCTGCGTCCTCTCTCGCTGCGAAGTTCTCCAATCTGTCACCAGACCTCCGCAGGGCGTTCTACCACAGACAGGTGCGTGTGCGTGTGTGTGTGTGTGTGTCGCCCATCCCCCATCAGCCCTCTCTCTGGTGCCGCAGCAGCAGCTGCTGCTGCCGCCATTCCTCCCCTCCCGCTCCCCCTCTGCTTGCTCCTCCACCTCTCGCCTATCCCCGCCTCCCTCTCCTCCTCCTTCTCCCCGGGAGTTGGTGCTCTGAAGGCCGCTACTTCATCCCTCGCTGCGTCGTTCTCCTCCCTCTCGCCAGACCTCCGCAGGGCTTTCTACCACAGACAGGTATGCTTCACATAGTCCACTCGATGATTGCAATCGGCTGAGAAATCTTCCCATTCCCTCCTCTCTCCTCCCCTCTCTGGGAGTTAGTGCTCTCAAAGCCACTACTATATCCCCCGCTGCATCATTCTCCTCCCTCTCGCCAGACCTCCGCAGGGCTTTCTACCACAGACAGGTATGCGAAATTCCCTAACATACCAAGTCCAAGACAGGTATGCGATCAAGTCCAATGAAACTTTGTATTTGACCAAGAAATTTCCCCATCCCTCACTCTTTCTCCTCCTCCCTCTTTGGGTGAGTTGCTGCTCTGAAGGCTGCCGCTTCAGCCCTTGCTACCCCATTTCGCTTGCCAACCCCCCACCCCCATCTGCTTGTCTTGTCAACACCCCCCTCGCAGGTGAAGCTGCTGCAGGAGCTGCTGCTAGACGCCACAGGCACCGCTGCTGCTGGAGAATTTCCTCGTTCCGCATTGCCCTTTCCACCCAATCTGCTTGTCCACCTCAACCCATCCCGATCCCTTTGTCAACTCCCCACCTACTCCAGGTGAAGCTGCTGCAGGAGCTGCTGCTAGACGCCACAGGCACTGCGAAGCAACAAGTCCCAGGAAAGGGGGGAGCGGGAGGTACGGCAGGAGAGGTAGCAGGCGGGGATGGTCGTGCTGAGGTGGCAGCCTCTCTGGATGCCATGCTGGCACTTGTGAAGGTGAGGTGGACGCTGTTGCGATTCCTTGCACGCCCATGTCATCAGTCTATCTGATGGATGCTCATAGTGAGAGCTCATAGTGAAAGCTCATCGTGAGAGCTCATAGTGAGAGCTCATAGTGAGAGCTCATAGTGAAAGCTCGTAGTGAAAGCTCCCAAAACTTCATCACAAAACTTGAATTGCGCCGTTTTTCTATTTTCCCTCTCACCGCACTTCATTACTTACCACTCATCTGCATTCTCCTCAATCTTCCCCTCCCCATCCCTCTCCCACCCCACCCATGCAGGGTCATGACTCACGAGTTCATCGCCTCCCCTCCGTCCCTTGAGGCCAAGTGGAGCCGGAAATTGAGGAGCTGCGCTGGCTAGTTCTATCCTCTGTTCCTCCCCTCTCACCCTAGTCCACTTTCGCCATTTCTTTCCCCACCCACCCAGGGTCACGAGTTCATCACCTCCCCGCCATCCTTCGAGGCCAAGTGGAGCCGGAAGCTCAGCGAGCTGCGCTGGCTGCTTGTGGGGGGGTTCGCCTGGGGCGGCAGAAGAGGAAACGCAGCAGCACTGGCCGCAGCAGCCAGCAACAACAGTGCTGGCAGTGGTCTAAGTGGTGGTGCTGGTGGTGCTGCTGGTGGCAGTGCTGCGAGGCAAGGGAAGCAGCTACCAGTGCTGCCTGGTGCCTGGAGTCCCACCAGAGCCAGCTTGAACGCGTCTCTGTACCATCAGCTGCTGTCCGCCTGCTGTGATCCCTCTGATTCGGCCTCTTCCATCGACCTCCTCTTTGTAAGCTCTCTGCAGCACCACGCACTGCAGCAAGCAGCAGCATGCCAGCCAGTAGTGGCTGGCTGGTAACCAGCCGACCCGTGCTGTTTGGAAATCACTTTTGAGAATTCTCCAAAGTGCAGCACCACGCACTGCAGCAAGCAGCAGCATGCCAGCCAGTAGTGGCTGGCTGGTAACCAGCCGACCCGTGCTGTTTGGGAATCACTTTTGAGAATTCTCCAAAGTGCAGCACCACGCACTGCAGCAAGTAGCAGCATGCCAGCCAGTAGTGGCTGGCTGGTAACCAGCCGGCCTGTGCTGCCTTCAAGACAGTAGCCGTTTCCTCTTCCCTGGACAGCCCAAAAGACACCCCCAGGACTACACTCAAATGAGTGTACTGATACCTTCCAGGGCTACACTTAAATGAGTGTACTGATACCCACCAGGGCTACACTCAAATGAGTGAACTGATACCCGCCAGGTATCAGTGGCGTTTCTTCTGTTTCTGGTACCCCCTCCAGTGGTCCGTGCACTGATACTCTCTTGCTCTTCCCTTCTTTCTCAAGCGGGCCTGCTCTTGCTGTTCCCGTCTCTCTCTTTACTACAATCCGCAGGAGATGGAGGAGAGAATCGAGGCCCTCAGGCCCACGTGGCAGCCTCTGGGAGTGACACCTGTCACGCACAGTGCCCTACAAGCCTGGACCCTCTGCCAAAAGGTATTTTGCCCTGCAAGGTGGCTTGCACTGCCAGGTGGCTTGCACTGCCAGGTGGCTTGCACTGCCAGGTGGCTTGCACTGCCAGGTGGCTTGCACTGCCAGGTGGCTTGCACTGCCAGGTGGCTTGCACTGCCAGGTGGCATACAGTGCCATCTGGCAATCTGGCATGAGACTCCATTGCGTTGTCTGCTAGTAACGGCCTTTGGGTCGTGCTAACATCCTTCCTTATCTCCGTCTTCTCGCAGGCTTCGGTTCCAACTCCCCCTCACCCGCTGTCATCACCATCGCCAGCTGGCGGCCTGCCAGATCAGCAGCAGCAGCTTCTGCCAATCAGAGCCGTGCTTCCACTCATCTGCCAATCACTGCGTCGACTACCAACCACTGCCTGTGCACGACCATCAGCATCATCATCCGCAGCAGTAGCAGCGGCAGCAGCAGGAAAAGAAGAAGCAGCAGCGAAAGCAGTAGCAGCAGCAGATTGCAGAGAGGAACCTTCAGCGAAGGTTCTCCTTCAGCCGTTCGTGCAGTCAGTGTCTCGCTTCCTGTCATCGCTTCTAAGTGACTACCACCACACCCTGCTGGAGGTTAGTGCCTGCTGTGAGTACCGACGGATCAGCATCATTGGATTCATCTTTGTGCTTGTACCTGTGCTGCTGTGACCCGCCTCCTGCCCCTTGCCGCTGCGCTCACATACGACTTTTGAGTCGACTCAAAAGTCACTACCACCACACCCTGCTGGAGGTTAGTGGCTGCTGTGAGTGCAGGCGGATTAGCAGCATTGGAGGCTCTGGGCTTGTACCTGTGCTGCGCTGCTGTGACCCGCCTCCCGCCCCTTGTTGCTGCCCTCCCGTACCCCGCACTTCTGCCTCCTCTCTCCACTCTTCTCTCCCCTCCTTCCTCTCCCCTCCTTCCTCTCCCCTCCTTCCTCTCCCCTCCTTCCTCTCCCCTCCTTCCTCTCCGCTGTACTCCTGCACTCCGTGCTTTTTCCGTGCTTTTTCCCCCTCGTCCCTGACTCCCTGCCCCTGACCTGCCTTTTTATCCTCTAATAATCCCCAGGCAGCCAGCAGCAGTGGCGCGAGTGCAGACGGATTGGCGGCTCTAGAGTCAGCTTTGGATTCATACCTGTGTTGCTGTGACCTGCTGGAGGCGGGCAGGAAGAGGAGCAGCCGCCGGCACACGGTGAGAGTTGGGATTGAGGAGTGGGTAGGACAGGTGTTTCTTTTCATGTTTAATGATCCTATGCTCCTCACACACTTATCAATGCAAGCAGCACTAGAGTCGGCTCTGGACTCGTACCTGTGCTGCTGTGACCTTCTATTCTGGAAGCAGGCAGGAAGGGGAGCAGGTGAGAGTTGGGCACACGGTGAGAGTTGGGATTGAGGGATGGGAAGGACAGGTGTTTCTGTACATGTTTTGTGCTCCTCACATACTTCTCAATGCAAGCAGCATTAGAGTCCGCTCTGGACCGGACTCGTACATGTGTTGCTGTGACCTGCTGGAGGCGGGCAGGAAGAGGAGCAGCCGCAGACACACGGTGAGAGGGGAATTGGCGAGCAGGCACGTCAGGTGTTTCTCTTTGTGTTTTGTGCTCCTCGGACACTTGTTAGTGCAAGCAGCATTAAAGTCAGCTCTGCACTCGTACCTGTGTTGCTGTGACCTGCTGGAGGCGGGCAAGAAGAGGAGCAGCCGCAGACACACGGTGAGAAGAGGAAGTGATTGGAATGAAGTAAGGAATGCCTGATCTTTAAAATGTCTTGCTTCTGTATAACTGCTACCATGGGTTTGTTTTTCTCCCTTTCTGTTCTCAGGCGCCAGGAGCACCACCAAGCATGGAGCGAGTGGAGGAGGTACTCGAGTTCGTGCACATGTCCGTCCTCTCCTCCTTCGACCGTGCCTGTCTCGACGCCATGGCAGCAGCAGCAGCAGCCAAAGCCCAGAAAGACGCACAGGACCAGCACGCTGACAGCAGCCCCCCCTCCTCCTTGCGAGACTCTTCCGCAGACGGACCTGCTTCCGATTTCAGAGCAGCAGGGGCGAGCGGAGAGGTGGGGTTGCCTCAACTGGCGGAGCTGGCGAGTGTGATCATAGAGAGGGAGGCTGGGGGCATGGCGGGGTTGGGCGAAGGGCGAGCAGGGAAGGGAGGAGGGAGAGGAGTAGGAGGAGGAGGGGAGGGAGGAGCGGCGAAGGGTGGTTGTTGTGCGGTGTTTAGACGGCTGGGGGTGTACGGGACAGCGGCGGTGGCAGCAGCAGCGCTACACCAGCAGCTGGATTCGCAGTTGGTGAGTTGTATGAGCCTTATTTTGTTGACTTGTTATTATAATTGTAATTGACTTGTCCTCCAACCCCTCTCTACGCATCCTTACCACATTCCACCACCCCCAACTCCTCCCTGTGCCTCTGATCCACCAGGACCCCATTCCTCTCAGTGGTATCAGAGCTGCACCCCGACTGCTGCAAGGTGCTTCTCTTCCGACCCCTCTCACCACACTCCACCACTCCCGACGCCTCCCCACTGTGTATTTCCTATCCATCACCCACCAGGATCCGTTCCTCTCAGTGGTATCAGAGCTGCACCCCGACTGCTGCAGGGTGTTCTCTGCCGTAGATGCATTCGACAGGCGCGTGCAGCAGGTGGTGCAGGGGGAGGTTCGGGCGGAGGAGGAGGCGAAGAAGAGAGCAGCATCAGCAGGGGAACACGAGGGGCATGGGGGATACGGCCATGCAGCACAGATTGCAAGCGAGCTGAACGCCTACCAGGTAAGCTCCTCCTAGCCTTGAGTTGCTGTGAGCGAGGAGAAGAAGAGGCTAGGGAAAGGGGGAGAGGGGTACGGAGGATACGGCCATGCAGCCCAGATTGTGAGGGAGCTGTTTTCAGTTTGCTTATGCCAAACCTCGTCACCCTCCTCTGTGGTTGTCGTGCACTTGCCTATTTTCAGATTGACCCTGTGATGAAGCGTCTGTTTTCAGCCTGGGTCTCAGCACAACAGCAGAAGGTGGATGTGTGGATGGAGAGGGGCGTGGATGCCGAGGTGAGAGAGGGAATTAAAGGTAGGATGGTGGGTGGAGCGGGGTGAATGGGAGGAACAGGTGGGGTCAAGGGACTATTTAGTGTGGATGGAGAGGGGCGTGGAGGCCGAGGTGAGAGAAGGATCCGATTTCTTTGTATGGGATCTTTGTCTGCATTTTCTGATGTTGGCATTCCGGTCCTCTGTCTTTCCCGCTCCTTCCCAACCCCCTGCCCCACGTCCTCACCTTCTCATCTTATTCGCTCTTTTCACCCGCTCCTGTCACCGCACCTCTCGTGCTGCTGCTCCTGCAGACGTTCGAGCCTGCATCAGGTACACTCAAGCATGGGGCTTCTGTAGTGGATGCTGTTTCTGAAGCGCCTCAACAATCTTCTCTCCCCTCCTCTCCTCTCCTGGCCTCATCCCTCCCATCACCATCTCCTCTCCTCTGCCCTGCTGCTTCTGCAGACGTTCGAGCCAACATCAGACACACTCAAGCACGGGGCGTCTGCAGTGGATGCAGTGCGACTGGTGGAAGAGGTGAGGGGTGGGTGGTGTGTTCTTGCCTGCCTGTTACCTACCCCTACACGTGACAGCTGAGCTTGTGTTAGTCTTATTCTATTCATGCCTCAAGTACGGGGCGTCTGTGGTGGATGCAGTGCGGCTGGTGCAATAGGTGAGGGAGGGATGGGTGATGCGGTGTTGCCTACCTCTACATGTGACAACTGAACTCAGGTGATGTTTGTTCTGTTATATCCATACCTCAAGCACGGGGCTTCTGCAGTGGATGCAGTGCTGCTGGTGCAAGAGGTGGGGCGCTTGGGTGGTGACTGTCTAGGTAATGGTGCTGGTTCAATATTCAGTTCCTCTCTTTCCTGCAAGCACATAGCTTCTGCAGTGCATGCTACAGCAATATTTTCCAGCTAGGCCTCCCCCCCTCGCCTGCCCATGCTGCAACAGATCGTCCACAGCACAGACACCCTCATGAGCTCCTAGGTTGCCAAGATTGCTGCTCTCGGCCCCAGGGATGACCTCAAGCTGCCTCCGCCCCCCCTCACACGCTTCAAAGAGGACCTGGCCCAGCAGCTAACTGATAAGGCGGAGAGACGAACTCAAGCTGCCCCTGTCTCCCTGTCCCCCTTGTCCTCCCTTGCACTCCTACCCGCAGGTTCTAGATCAGTTCTTCCGCCTGGGCCTTCCCCCTCGCCTGCCCATGCTACAGCAAATCGTCCACAGCGCCGACACCCTCATGAGCGCCTATGTTGCCAAGACCTCTCTGTGCGACCTCCTGTGTCCTGTCCCCCTTCCACTGCCTACCACAGGTCCTAGACCAGTTCTTTCGTCTCGGCCTACCCCCCCGCCTGCCCATGCTGCAGCAAATCGTCCACAGCACCGACACCCTCATGAGCACCAATGTTGCCAAGATCGCTGCTCTCGGGTCCAGGGACGACCTCAACTCAAGCTGCCTCCCTGTCCTCCCTGTGGCTTCTGCCATTCCTCTGCCTCATCCCTCCCTCTTCACCACAGGTTTTAGACCAGTTCTTCCGCCTAGGCCTGCCTCCCCGCCTGCCCATGCTGCAACAGATCGTCCACAGCACCGACACCCTTATGAGCTCTTATATCTCCAAGATCGCTGCTCTCGGCCCCAGGGACGACCTCAAGCTGCTTCCCTGTCTCCCTGTCCTCCCTGTCGCTTCTGCCATTCCTCTTTCACACCCTCCGCCCTCCGCCCCCCGCGCCCCTTCCCCCTCCCCTCCTCCTCATCCTCAGGTGCTAGATCAGTTCTTCCGCTTGGGTCTCCCACCTCGCCTGCCCATGCTGCAACAAATCGTCCACAGTACCGACACCCTCATGAGCGCCTATGTTGCCAAGATTGCTGCTCTCGGCTCCAGGGACGACCTCAAGCTGCCTCCGCCCCCCCTCACGCGCTTCAAAGAAGACTTGGCTCAGCGGCTCGCTGATAAGGCGGAGAAACGGGCTGAGAGGGAGGAGCGGGTACAGAAGGGGAAGGCGGGGTACTTGGAGGGGCTGTGGCATGCAAGGAAGGGCGTGGGGGGTGTGGGAGCGGGAGTGGGCGTGGGAGGGAGGGGGGCGGTGAGGGCTGTGGATGCTGCGAAAGCAGCTGCGATTGATGCGCTGACTGTGAAGAAGCTGTGTGTTCGGATCAACACTCTGGAGGTGCGAATTGGATGTGTTGCTGCGCTGTTGGTGAGCATTTTCCTCCCTGATTTGCTGTTTTTCTCTCCCTCCCTCTCACTCCACTTCGTGACAGCAGAGTTCCACAAGTCTAATTGCACAGCTACCCACTCCTGACCCGTAATCTCGTCTATCCTCCCCATTCCATCCACTCCAGTTCGTGACAGCAGAGCTGGACAAATCTGAAAAGGCTCTCTGTGAGCGCTGGGATGAGTACGCTCCCCACCTCAAGATCGATGACATGGCAGGTGTGAATGCTGATGTGGCACGTGAGGTCGCTGACATGGTCCTTCTCCGTATCCTTTGCTTCTCCCCTGCTCCCTTGTTCTGCTGCTTGCTCCTCCTCTTCCCTCTCGTGGGGTGCAGCTGCTGCTTCTTTATAGAATGCTATCTGTGCCTTCCCCTTCCCCTTCCCCCCCTCCACTTCCTCCTCTCCTGTTCACCCCCTTTTTCCCTCGTACAGCCATGGCCCCGTCTCAGCTTGCCTCCTCTCTCGCCTTCCGCCTATCCACTGAGGGAGTAGCAGGACTCAAGAGAGGAAGCTTCTATGAGCAGACCACCACGCTGGCAGCACAGCGCATGCAGACCCTCTCGGACTACCTTGGTGAGTGTGTGTGTGTGTGTGTGTGTGTGTGTGTGTGTGTGTGTGTGTGTGTGTGTGTGTGTGTGTGTGTGTGTGTGTGTGGAAGGGGGGGAGTGAGTTTGTGTGACCTTTGAGGGAGACGGGGGGGAAGTATTTGTGAGTGTGTGGTGCGCTTGCAGCACAGCGCATGCAGACCCTCTCGGACTACCTCAGTTAGTGCCTACTTGATCTCGCTCACTCGTATCACGTCTGCCTTTTTGTATTTGCGTAACATTCATGTAGCATCCGACCTTGGTTGGTTGCCATGTAAACAGAGACTAGCAGCACGAAACTGTTGATTCTGAATCGGATATAATGCTTTTTTTGATATGTTTCCATGGCTCCCCTCGCATCGCTCCAACCCGGCAGGCACCAAGGTGGTGTGGTGGGACCTGAGAGAGGCGTTTCTGGACCGCTAGGTGTACCTTTCTTGTTTAAATACAACAAGAAAGTTGATCTCACGCAGGTTCTCTCCCTGTTTAACTGATCCCCCGCAGGCACCAAGGTGGTGTGGTGGGACCTGAGAGAGGCGTTACTGGAGGAGCTGTATCGTGTGAGCGTGGACTCCTGTCGTATGAGCAACCTCATGCTCAAGCTGGACCCAGTAAGAATGTGTGTGTGTGTGTGTATGTATTTGTGTGTGTGTCCTATGCTTGGACTCTTGCCCAGTGTGTGTGTGTCCCATGCCTGGACTCGTGTGTGTTTCTGGAGGAGCTGTTTCGTGTGAGTGTGGAGTCATGCCGCATGAGCAACCTCATGCTCAAGCCGGGGTCGGTAAGAGTTTGTTACTACAGCTTTAACCTCTTCTTTTCTTCTCCTTCTAATTCCTTTTCACCATTCTCTGCTGCAGCATGGAGTGTTGATCGTGTACAGTGTGAGCCATGCTGATTCAGTTCACCACTATGTGGGCCATGTGTGTGTCGGTTGTTTCGGTTCTGGTATCCACGTGCAGGTGTTGGGGGAGATTGTGGAGACCGTCTCAGACTCCCTGAGGGACCGTGTCGTCACCTCTCTCCTGCACTCTGTTCTGGTAAGCTGGGATGAGGAAGACTTGTTTTTCTTATATTTGGTATCATACTTCGGCACTCTTTTGAGTCGACTCAAAAGTGTCGTCACCTCTCTCCTGCACTCTGTTCTGGTAAGCTGGGATGAGGGGGAGTTGTTCTTCTTACATTTGTGATCATGCTTCGGCGATCTATTTTCCATCTTGTCCTAACGTACCTCTGACCAGCACAAGCGTATTCTGGATGTTGTTCACTTTTTATCTTTGAAACCACTCTTAAAACCCTTCCACTCCACCAGGAGGGCCTGCTGCGTGTGCTTCTGGATGGCGGGCCTCTGCGGGTGTTCGCCCAGTCAGACTATGATGCCCTGGAGGATGACCTCCGCATTCTCAAGGTGAGCAGCTGACAGCATGGCATGATGACATGGGATGCCTCAAACAGGCAGACTATGATGTGTGCTTCTGGATGGCGGGCCTCTGCGGGTATTCGCCCAGTCAGACTATGATGCCCTGGAAGATGACCTCCGCATTCTCAAGGTGAAATACCCACATGGCATGGCATGGCATGGCATGTTATGGCATGGCGTGGGATGGCATGGCGTGGGATGGCATGGCGTGGGATGGCATGGCATGGCATCAGAGGTGTCATGACATGATGCCCTGGAAGGTAATCTCTGCACACTCAAGCTGAGAACCTCACATGGCTTGGCATAGCTTGCTATGCATGGCATCATGCCATCATGTATGATCATGCCATGACGCGTAGACGATGCACATTGTGTGACACGATACCCTTGTAACCTTCTCCCTCCCTCTTTCCCCTTCATCCTTCCCTCTTTCCTCCTCCTTCATCTCCCTCTTTTCTCCTTCCTCCTTCATCCTCCCCCATTCCCCTCCCCATTTCCCCTCTCTCCAGGAGTTCTTTGTGGCGAGTGGCAAACGCTTGCCACAGGAGGTCTACTTACACGCGGTTTTTATATTGATAGTTTTTCTCTCCCCGTTTCCCCTCTCCCCAGGAGTTCTTTGTGGCGAATGGCAATGGCTTGCCACAGGAGGTGGTGAACAAGGCAGCAGCGCAGGTGCAGCAAGTGCTCAACTACTACTCCCTCGATGTGAGTGCTTTATACATTACCTGTAACTTTGCAAACTGTTCATACCTCATTGGTAAGGTTTTTTTTATGTGCCCCCTCCACTCCACTACCGCCTGTTCCAATGACCTTAGCCCAAACTAAAGGTTTTTTGTTGTCATGTGTGCATGTCACATTAAGTCCCCATGTGTTCTTTCAACTATCATCTCCCCCACAACAGACTGCTGACGTCATTATCGTTTACAAGCAAGCAGCGGGAGCCAGTCAAGCGGCAGGTGGTGCGTTCCGAGCGTCGTCCTTTGTGAGGTGGCGCAGGACTCACTGGGCACGACGCGCATGTGCTTCTGCGTGTTCTTTGCCATAGGGCGGATCGGGAAGCTTCCAAGTTCCTCAAGAAGCACATGCACTTGCCTAAGTCATAGGACCGTAATTAGGAAGCAAATGAGGATAAAAGAAGAATGTATGTATACTCGGCATAATATATATATTTGCCCTGTTTCCTTAACACAGGCTAGTGTTTTACATGTACCTATCTCGTAGTGCTTCCGTGTGTTCTGTGTTAGCGCAATCGCGCACGACCCACGTTTCCACCGTCCTTGGAAACTGCTGCTTGCGTGGCGTTGTCCGATGCTGGCATGTCAGCGGGGAACTGCCACGCGACAATACATTCCCACCGTCATGCGACCAGGACAGACAGAATCTGTCATGTTTTACCAGAGCATAATGTGGTGAAGAAACAGTCGAGTGCGCTTCAGTAGGTTTCCGTACGGTTAGAAGCGGCTGTTACCTCCAACTTTATGAAACATAACTACGGTTTATGACTTGGGTAAGAGACACGCCGAACACCCCCCGACAACATCGAGGTTTGACTCTCCTCGTCACTTGCTCGGCGAAGTTGCTCGGCGAAACGGAGGCGTGCTCGTGCACTCCTGTCAGGGTCTCTGAGCTTGCCAAATAGCTGCGTTGTAAGCAGTCTCGTTACCCTTTCACACGTGGCATCGTAGCATGGCCTCCTCATCGTCCTTCACCGGACGGCTGCAGCTGTCGACCGTCGCGCGGTCGGCTCCTGCTGCTTCGCCCGTGTCCACCGCAGGCTCGCTCCGGCAACAACCTGCTTCCGCTGCTGGATCGCACGTTCATTCCGCTCGCTGCTCGCATGAACCTGGTGAGCATCGCACTTCGAACGTCGCATGTCGCACGTCGCACATGCTGATCGCCGCGTTTCACGCTGTACGTGCCGTAAGCAGCGACGAACGATGCTGGTCGCGTTGAACCTGAGAACCTGCGTTTCTTCTGCGCTGTCGCATCGTCTTTCGCTGGTTTGGAACGATAAAGATGTATTTGGAACGGCATTGCTCATATTTCTAGGTTACGTTCGACGCAGTTGCTTGTGAATTTTACATATTCTCCCGTGCCTCTCGCCGATTTTTGAAGCGCTTTCCCCGTGAAGTATTTTCTTGACCTAATTCAGCTCGATTGTCGTTATGCGATCAGCGATTGCTGCCTTTCGGTGCTGTTCGTAGCCTAAAAGTCTTCGTGATTAGGCAATCAGCTAAGCTGTTCAGAGATATTTCTCCGATCAGCTCTTTTGTTCAGGGATGTTGCCAAGTGGTTATACAGTTCACCCCTCTCCCTCTCCTTCCCCGCGTCTTCCTCCCTTCACAGATAATGCGAATGCCAGCACTGAACAGCCGAGCAACGTTCCCGGCACCAGCAGCACCAGCAGTCGCCGGCAGCTGTTGTGTGGAGCGTGCGGATCGGCGGTGGCAGCGGCGGTGGCGGCGGTTTCAGGCGATGCGAGGGCGGAGATCCTACCCGCGCCTCCCTCCACCTCCTCCGTCTGCCGCAACTGCCAAGGGGCCGGCGCTGTCGTCTGTGAGTGTTCTCCTATTGAGCATTCGTTGTTTTGATGCCCCACCCCCTACCTTGACCCCCCCCCCCCTCTTCCTTTCCCTCCCATTCCCCTGCCCTTCGCATGCCCCTCATCCCTACCTCCCGTTTCTCCCCATCCATGCCACCTTTCTGTAAATCGTCCCGCCTTCATTTTACCATACATTCTCTAAGGCGCGTCAAAAGCTGACTTATGAGACACCTTATCAACCTACATTCATGCCATCCTTCCTTCAGCCTCCAAAGCCTTTTTCCACTAGAAGCAGTGACTGCTGCGTAGCCCATACGTGTAAGCCGCCTCAAATAAAAGTGGACTCGTTTTGTAACACCTCGTACATAAGAGTGCGTATGGGAAGATTTGCCGGGAAGAATTGCGCTTTGAATGATTGTGTGCTTGCCTGTCTACTCCTCTTGAACCTTGGAATGCTTCAAAGCCCTTCTGAATCACTATGATACCTCTCTATGCGGCATGCATCATGTGTAGTGGCACTGCCGGGTGTGCAGACTGTGGCTCAAACATCGCCTGCTTTGGATCCCTTGCTCTCCCCGCTCTGCCATGCAGGTGACATGTGTGGTGGCACTGGCAAGTGGAAGGCACTGAACCGCAAGAGAGCCAAGGACACGTATGAATTCACCGAATGCCCCAACTGCTACGGTAAGATATCATCTGCTTTTTCCCTCCCGTGTTCCATTTTGTTTTCCTGGGTGACCGTTTCTATCTGGTAGTGAGGATTACAGGGCCTTGCACGCCCATCCCTTCCACAGTATGAATACCTGTGGCAGTGGCTTACCTTCTGGGTGAATTTCTCTCATCTGAATTGTGGTCGCTGATTTAAAGGTTTATAATTATCACCTTAACTTATCATCTCATGATTCGCATCACTGCGCCCTGATTGGGCAGGTCGAGGCAAGCTGGTGTGCCCAGTGTGTCTGGGCACGGGAGTGGGGAACGCCAAAGGGCTGCTGCGGCGGCCCGAGTCAAAGCAGCTTCTGGATCAGATGTACCATGGCCGCCTGCTTCCCCCTTCCTAGGGGATCTGCTCCCCTTATTCTAGGCAGGACAAAACATTTGGTTTCTTGTTGCTAGCAGTGAATTTGTGTTATAGTCTGGTGAGGTGATTGTAGTGAAACCTGTCACGCATTTCAGCTATTTAAAAGTTAGTGTAAGAGCTTGACCCAATCAGTCTGACTCGCCTGATGATATGTGCTCTTTTCATTCTGATAATTTTCAGCAGGGTTTGGTGTCATTCACTAGAGAATAGCCAGAAGATAATGAATACATGCGTTCAATTTCTTAGGTGTACACGGCACCACTAACGAGTTTGTGGTTGTCTGACATCCTCGATCTGATGACGCCCGCTCGGTAGCTTGCCGCACCTCCACTTTATACCATACCTGCACCAGGCCAGATTGTCGCGCCTCGTCCTCGCCGATGGATGACGTGGACTGACCCCCTGAACCGACAACCTCTGTGGGCCTTCCAGAAGCAGCCACTGTTTCAGGGGGATACATAAGCGCGAGAAGGTGACAACAGACATCGGCTGACGTGGACTTGATTTGTGATCCGTGGCCGATCAGGCTCGGACACAAACGGCACGAGTGCCACGCGGCGAATGGATGGTGTGGTTGGGGCCCCCCTTCTCCTTCAACCGAGTTCGGGATTTTCTCACATGTAAACTACCCCAGAGACATTCTTAGGTGACTTGGTTCGTTCCTTTCCGCAATAACGGAGACATTATTTTGAGAGCTAAGCACCAGGGGCAGTTGCAACCGAAAGTGAAACCGAATACAGCTCGAGGATCAGTCCCATTCCAACCTGCTCCTCCTTCAACCTCGAGATTACCATCCCCATTCTTCCTCAGCCAACTCTCCCAAGCAAACGTATTTCTGCAGCGACGGCTCCACGCAACGTTTGCCAGTTTTCGTTGTATCTTTGAGTCGTCATCGCTTGTGTTTCTGCAGCTGAAGCAAGGCGGTATCAGCTGCGTGAAAGCAAGCGCATCACGCTTTTTACCGTTTTGTCACTCTTCTTTCGTCGATTCGCTCTAGCTCCCAGCGAATTCTCTTCTGAACGACAATGCCGTCACATCACGCCCTTGCCCGAGGGCCTGTCGCTGCGAATGCGTCTGCTTTGCAGCAGGCGCTTCGTCGGGCCGAGGCTTCCCAATCAAGGCCGAACACGCAGTCTTTAGCCGTTCGTGGCCTGAGCCAATCAGGGAATCTGAGATTCAGCAGATTAAGGAGTGTTCAGAGCTTCGCTGGTACCCAATTGGTCAATTTCAATTCTGTCGTCGCGAAACCGACTCAAACTCGAAAAGTGACGTCAGCGGTGGCGACGACTGATGCATCGACGACGACTGCAGGCGATAGCTCGGGTACGTCTGAAGGCACAGCAATATGTGTGTAGCAATGACGCAAGAACGTTATCCCAACGATCGCCATATGCTTGTACTTCACACAGTCGAACCTATTTCGGCACCAGTATGCCATTCATCGTTCTAAAAGTATTTTCCGCTTCTTACGTCCATTCATGCAGGATTTCCGTCTTTTTGAGAATATATCAAGAATAATGATAACGTTCTAGCCTTCAAAGGTTTCACCTGACCTTCTCGAGACTCGTCTAATCTCCTGACTTATCACACTTTCTTGTTTCCTGGAAACCCTCGTGTTTTGTGTCCATGTTCGGTCCAAATCACCAACTTTTATTTTCCTTTATTTCCCTCGACGTGGGACACATTACCCTCCATTTTCTTTCAAGTTTCCCTGCTTTCACACTTTCCTTCCCTCTCCCAATTCTCATAACCACCTTCAGTGAAGACGACCGTTGAGAATCTGGTGGTCATTGGTTCAGATCAGACCCGGCCGAATACACCACGTTGCATTATCCTCAAAGTTTCTCGACTTTCTCTCTTTCCTTCCCGCTCACAATCCTCTAACCTTCCTCAGTGGAGACGACCGTCGAGAATCTGGTGATCATCGGGTCAGGCCCGGCCGGGTACACCGCCGCGATTTACGCTGCTCGGGCGAATCTGAAGCCGGTGCTGTTCGAGGGCGTGCAGGCCGGCGGAGTTCCCGGAGGGCAGCTCATGACCACCACTGAAGTGGAGAATTTCCCTGGATTTCCAGAGGGTATCACTGGTCCCGACCTCATGATCAGGTGCGTGGTAACCACATGGTGCGGTGTGGTACGGTCAGTTGCGGTTTGGTTTGAAGTTGTTGAGCGTAGACACTCAGACGGACGAATGCAAAGACGAATATGAGAGTGCAGGCGGGAGGAGTTCCCGGAGGGCAGCTCATGACCACCACGGAGGTCGAGAACTTCCCGGGATTCCCGGAGGGGATCACGGGCCCCGACCTTATGATCAGGTTCGTTTCGAAGTAACCTCGGAGTCCACTTTGAAGTCGCCGCAAGAACAAATCTGCTTGGGAAGGCAGGAAGCTCATAACAGTTGAGGAGTAGAGGAATTGCAGGAGGTGTGACGTTCGAGGGCGTGCAGGCGGGCGGGGTTCTCGGAGGGCAGCTCATGACCACCACGGAGGTTGAGAAGTTCCCGGGATTCCCGGAGGGAATCACGGGCCCCGACCTTATGATCAGGTGTGTTTCTTTCTCTCGCCAAGTGCCAGATGCAACTGTCAGGTTCCGCCGTTAAAAGAACAAACGAATCGTCAAAATGTGGAGTAGGATACAAGGAATACTGAAGCACAAAAGTACGCAAACTTCCAGTCAACTCAGCAGACATAGGTGGCCTTCCTTCGTTCCCCTTACCTCTTCCCCCTTCCCCTTGCCCATTCCCGTGCGCGCAGAATGAGGCAGCAGGCGGAGCGGTGGGGCGCGGAGCTGCATACGGAAGACGTGGAATTCGTGGACTTGCAGACCCGCCCCTTCACGGTGCGCAGCAGCGACCGCGAGGTGCGCTGCCACAGCGTGATCATCGCCACCCGGGGGCTCATTGTACCCTCCCTTCCCCGTCCTCCTTCCCCCTTCCCTTTTTTCCCCTCCCTTCTTCCCGACTCCTCCTTCTCAAATGCCCCGTGCGCGCAGAATGAGGCAGCAGGCAGAGAGGTGGGGCGCGGAGCTTCATACCGAAGACGTGGAATTCGTGGATCTCCAAACCCGCCCCTTCACAGTGCGCAGCAGCGACCGCGAGGTGCGCTGCCACAGCGTCATCATCGCCACTGGCGCCACTGCGCGCCGATTGGGCCTCCCCAGCGAGAAGGAGTACTGGTCGCGAGGCATCTCCGCGTGCGCGATTTGCGACGGCGCAAGCCCGATTTTTAAGGGGCAGGAGCTGGCTGTGGTGGGCGGAGGGGATACTGCGGTGGAAGAGGCGCTGTACTTAACTAAGTACGCTAAGCACGTGCATCTGCTGGTGCGGAGGGACGTGCTAAGAGCCAGCAAGGCTATGCAGGACCGCGTGTTTAAAAACCCTAATGTCACCGTTCACCTGAACACGATCCCGGTAGATGTGGTGGGGAATGACAAGGGGCAGATGGCGGGGCTGAACGTGAAAGACGCGCAGACGGGGCAGGAGAGGATCATTCCGGTGAAGGGGCTGTTCTATGGGATCGGGCACAAGCCGAATAGCGACCTGCTGGCGGGGCAGGTGGAGCTGGATGGGAGCGGGTATGTGGTGGTCAAGGATAACGCGGTTGAGACATCCGTGCCTGGCGTGTTCGCTGCTGGCGACCTTAAGGTGAGCCTCTTAGCCTCTTTTCAGGGTACCCCTTTGCTGCTGCCGCTAGGGTACTACACTTGGATAGGGTGCTTGGTCTGGAAGCGGGGCAGGTGCAGCTGGATGGGAGCGGGTACGTGGTCGTCAAGGACAGCGCCGTTGAGACGTCTGTTCCGGGCGTATTCGCTGCTGGCGATCTCAAGGTGAGTTTCTGGCCCGTTGATAAGGTGCATGGAGTGGGCTCGGGACAGGTGGAGCTGGATGGGAGCGGGTACGTGGTGGTCAAGGACAACGCGGTTGAGACTTCCGTGCCTGGCGTGTTCGCCGCTGGCGATTTGAAGGTGAGCCTTTTCTTTGCCCTTTTGCTAGCCCCTCTGCCAGTAGGGCACTCCTGGTGGGGGTAGGGTGGTGCTTGGCCTCCTCTCGGGACAGGTGCAGCTGGATGGGAGCGGGTATGTGGTCGTCAAGGACAACGCCGTGGAGACTTCTGTTCCGGGTGTGTTCGCCGCTGGTGACCTCTTTGCGTCCTCTTGGCTCGTCGGGGTGCATGGCAGCCCTGTCAGCCGTGTCTCTCCAATCTCCTCTCCCTGGACGTCTCTCACCTCTCTCGCGGTAACTCTCCCTCTCCGCTCTCTCCTCTCCCTTCTCACCCTTTTTTTCCCACATTCAGGACCACGAGTGGCGGCAGGCCATCACAGCAGCAGCATCGGGGTGCATGGCAGCGCTGTCAGTGGAGCGATACCTCACAGCCAACGACCTGCTCATCGAGTTCCACCAGGTGAGACATGCGGTGCTGAAAACAATTCCACAGGTGTAGGAACAGCAATGGTGGCAGTAGCAGCAGCAGCAGCAGCAGTAGCAGCAGCAGCGTCAGGGTGCATGGCAGCGCTGTCAGTGGAGCAATACCTCACACCCAACGACCTGCTCATCGAGTTCCACCAGGTACGGCGTTCCGAGAGGTAGCCGTGCTGGAAATGCCTCTACTTGCCATTTCTATGCTAAAATAGCTTTCCCACAGCCATCGACCTGCTCATCGAGTTCCACCAGGTGAGAATTTTCCAGTGGTAGATGTGCAACATAGCCCTACGAGTCACTGTGCCAATGACAGCAGCAGCAGCAGCATGAACAGCAGCATGAACAGCAGCAGTAGCAGCACGAGCAGCAGCATCAGACAGTGCCGGGGTGCATGGCAGCACTGTCAGTGTAGCGACACCCCACAGCCGCGGCTCGTTGTTCTTTCTCACCTTCTCCTCCCACGGCCCTTACCCATGTGTTCCCTTCCAAAGCGTGCGAGCAGAAGGAGGTGGAGGTGAGGTGGAGGCGAGGTGGAGGTGAGGTGGATGTGAGGTGGAGGTGAGG